AACCCTTAAAGTGCTATATGCAAATAGCTCCTCACTCATTTTAGGACTTGATAAGTAGTTTACAGTTTGTTCTGCAACAATCATTTTCTACTTTTTAGTGTGAATTTGGAAAGGATAAACAGATGTTGTTGCGAATCAGTTTTTTATACTTCATATCATTCTGTTACCGACTGCACCGGACTACTACTGCATATTTACGTTTACCAAGTTATTGTCTTGTTTAAACATTATTGTCAAATTTTCTAACTACTGGAGCTCTAAATTTTATATGCTGACTTCAGAACAGCAGAGCTTGTTGAAGCAGTTCTGCAAGGTAGGAATGGGTCAGTCTTCTGCTATGGGGCAACTGGAGCAGGAAAGACACACACAATGCTTGGTACGACTGGGAATCCTGGTGTCATGGTGTTGGCCATCAAGGACCTGTTTGCCCAGATTAGGCAAATGAGTTTTGATGGAAATCATGTAGTTCATCTTTCCTATCTGGAAGTCTACAACGAAACAGTCCGAGACTTACTTTCCCCTGGAAGGCCTTTGCTCCTCAGGGAAGACAAACAGGTTTGCACACAAATTCTATCACTGTACTGGCAGTTTTTTATGTACACCATCATATATACATTTTCATGTTTCTTGCATTGAAAAATCCATTTCTGGTACATTACAACATTAATGCATCAAATTTTCTGTACTATATGTGTATTTCTAGAGACACAGATTAAATGTGTTCTACTTCATATTATTCATTTTCATTTCTTTATTTTAGTTTTTTGCTCTAAACATTTCAGGGAATCGTGGCTGCAGGCCTTACTCAATATAGGGCATATTCCACAGATGAAGTAAAGAACTCTTTTCAAGAACACTGGCATTAGTTTTGTTTATTATTATGGAGTATAAGTTAGGAAAAACAATGCTGATTTGTTGTTAATCAATTGCAGGTAATGGCATTGCTTCAACAGGGAAACCACAACAGAACCACAGAGCCCACTCGTGCTAATGAAACATCATCACGTTCTCATGCCATTCTGCAGGTCATTGCAATTTATAGAGTTTTTTTTAAATAGGAAAACTCATGGACGAAGTAAATGGCTACATGGTCTCTATAGTCAGTGCGGAAATAGCATTATGGTCACTACAGTGTAAAATTGAATATCACTGTGGTCATTAGGATCATTCTTTTGTCCATTGTTATTATTTAGTCATATATTTTTCATTTTCCTCTCTTATTTTTATTTAAAATTATTATTCTTATTATTATTACTACTACTATCATTGTTGTACTTTTTTGGAAAAAAGGAAAAAAGGAAACTCTTTACCCTTATCTTACATTGTTGTCTGGTTCAGGTTATGGTTGAGTATCGTGCTAAGGATGGTTCAGATAATGTTGTGAGCCGTGTTGGAAAGCTATCTCTGGTAGATCTTGCTGGGTCAGAAAGAGCGCTTGCCACGGATCAGAGAACACTAAGATCCCTGGAAGGAGCCAACATAAACCGGTCACTTCTAGCACTCAGCAGCTGCATCAATGCACTTGTTGAAGGCAAAAAGCACATCCCATACCGAAACTCTAAGCTTACTCAACTGCTTAAGGATTCCCTTGGGGGAGCTTGCAATACTGTTATGATCGCCAACATCAGCCCGAGCAACCTTGTTTTTGGTGAAACCCAAAACACACTTCATTGGGCTGATCGAGCTAAAGAGATCCGAACAAAGGTCAGTAATTAATTTGAAGTGTAACATTTTCATAATTAACATGCAGTAATCATTATGAATATATTAATTCAATTTGAAGGGTAACATTTTCATAAATAGTATGCAGTGATCATTACTTATGTTCAAACTCAATTAAAAGTTTTCAGTGGTCATTTTTGGAATACAATTTAAAGTTGCAGAAGCCTCTAATAAATCTAGCATTAACTTGGTGAGTAGCTCTATATATAAATAAGTTACTTATCTAAATCCGAAGCTCTATTTTACATTTCTGATTTAAACCAACAGGAAACCATTTGCGAGAAATTATGTGTTTCTTAATGCTTCAGAAACCAAGTTGTTTTTTGTTGTTGAATGCCAATAGCTTCAAAATTCCTTTTCATTCTTTCTGTTTGAAGTGCAGCATTTTCATAATGCCACTTCTTGATTACTCATTTTTTATTATACGAGTATGGTTTTTGACTTTTTTCATAATGCCACTTCTTAATTACTCTTTTTTTTATTATATGTTTTTCATAATGCCACTTGTTGCCTTTATCGCCATCATTTCATTAACTTTTATGCATATGCTTACTACAGGCTTATGATACACATGAGGAAGTGCAAATTCTGGACACGGAAACTGATCAGGCCAAGCTATTACTTGAGTTGCAAAAAGAGAATCGTGAACTGCGTACACACTTGGCTCGCCAGCAGCAAAAACTGCTAACCATTCAATCTCAAAATTTGGCAGCAAATGCATCTCCTGTTCCTTCTACGGTTTCCTCTCACCTATTGTCCCCTGCACCAACCCCACCTGCTTGGCCATGTGAGAAAAGAAATAGTAGACCCTCTTTCTTAGGTGGTAATTGCTTCACCCCAGATTCAAAGAAAAAGGCAGCAGATGAGACAGTTAAGGAGCTGAGAAAAACGGTAAAGACACTTGAGGCAGAAATCGAGAGAATGAAGAAGGATCATGCATCTAAGATTAAGCAGAAGGATAGTGTTATTCATGAGCTTTCACGTAAGACTACAAAACCAGTAGGTGGGGGAGATGTTATGAAGAGGGTTATCACAAGGGCCAGCTTGAGGCCGAAGAAGCCAAGCGAAGATGAGATGAAGAGTCCATGTCATCGTTTTGTATCTCCAGCACCCACTTCTAAAAAGCGTAGCTTTTGGGATACAACGACTGCAAATAGCCCATCACCATTTAATGGGAGAAAGACCAGAAGCCATGTTATAGCAGCTCCATCCAAGCTTCTCCAGGTGAAGTTTACTTCTGCATTGCAATATTTGTTTTTTGTTAAATCTTTAGGGTTTCTTTGGACGAAGGTATATTTGTGGGAGGGAGGGGGGGGGGGATTTGGAGGGAAAGACTTCAGAGGGATCAGTCCATATCTTGATAGATATAATGTTTCTAAAACTATTAAATGGTAATCTGAAATGTGTTATGATAACAACTTATGTCATTCATTTTTCTTTTCCAAAATCCAAATGTATATCAATATATAGTAGACTCTAAGACCTCCAAAACCTTCCCCTTCAAACCCCTTCATTCATGAGCATAGCCCAGACTTTCAAAATTTTGAAGTTGGGGTGCGCCGGAAAAATTATTCATTCCTATATATTTTTATAGAAAAAAAATGTTACACATGAAAAAATGTTTTCTAACATGGGGTGGGTGAGGTCCCTCCTCCATCTAAGCACATGCCCCCTTCCACACCGCCTTGCAGTATAATAAGACGAACAAAGTTTGTGCCATTGCTTGCGGTATTTTACTTTTGTTAGCTCATCAGGAAAAATACCTAAACACAAGTTATGAATGGTGCTGCTTGGTCAACTTTATAGTATACCAGAAAGCTTGGAAATCGTAACTAGTTATAATAAAATATTATGTGCTTGTCAATATAGGGAAGATTAAATTGATATAGTAAAACCACTTAAGGAATAAGCACCATGAGATTATGTTTTATACCAAGTGACTTTAGAACTATTTGGTTGTAAATTCTTCATCTAGTTATTTATAAAGAAATAGACCAGAATAGGAGTAGAAACAATGGGTATCCAAAACCAAGAGTATTATGTTTTCCCGCTAAATAAGAGTAATAATTGTCATGTTTGGAATTACTGTCAATTATGGTATTAATTTTGTCATATTTAATGTCCGGTAATGCCAAAATATAATAATGCCCATATTAATGCTTGTAATGCACAAATGCGTTAGTATAATATCAAAATGACAGTTATTTGCGTCTATTCAGGGGGAGATATAGCACTCCAATTTTGGAACTTCACATCGTTTTTAATCCTATTTTGGGAGATTTCCCTAATATATATGTATTCTTTTGAGCTGTTTTCCTATCTCCAGAACTGATGCATTTTGCACGTCCTTGTTTTTATTTCAATTATACATCACTCAGCCAGGATTCGCAGGATGGACAAGGCCTGAAATTGTAAAGCTGTAGAGAGTGTAGAGCAAATTTTAGCAGAAATGTCAGGCCAACAGGTACACATCATCAGTCCAAACGAGTCAGAAGTTTTTTGGTGCTAATTTCGTCACGCTGAAAGAAGTTCAATCGTCGTTATTCATTTTGATGAGATTGCGGTCAAATGATATAGTTTATCTTCTCCAGCAAGGCAGCAAACCTTCCGCAAAGTAGTGACATCCATGTTCATATAGTACACTCTTTCTTGCCAAAACATGAGGTTCCCTGCACATTTCATTAACAACCTGATTATATCTTAACATAAACTGACATGTCCCCCGATTGTTAGGGTCTGTTTCGTCCTCTTAAGTCTTTGTTACTTGAAACTCGCATCGTGTTTTTTGTTGTATCTTAGGCATTGTTTCAGAGATCTGATCTGCATTGTTTATATGTGAATGCCCAGTCAGGCATACCTGACCCAAATATTATTATGTTGTTGCTTGCTCTTCTCATTTTTTGTGTTCTACAAGCAAAGTTCAATGACAACAATATAGTAAATCTTGTGTTCAAATCATTTGTCTCATTTTGTTTGCTACTCCTCATAACCAATGCAAGATTTCCTACAAAAATGTTGAGTTTAACCCGCAGGGTAGCTCAACTGGTAAATCGGTGGGAAAGATTGGACATTAATGACCAAGGATCGAAAAATGTAGTGGTCGCGTGGAGAGCATAATTATTGTGTGTTGGATAGCTTCTTTGGTGCGCAGGAATATAAGATCCATCACCGTTATGACTGATAGAGTTACTGTGATTGATAACTTCTCATATGCTCAAGTTTTGGAGGGCCTTGGAGTTGAGAATTCTCATACAATGATAAAGATGTTGTGAGGGATATGATTAATGAGTTGAAAATATAGATTAGGAAACGGCATTTAAATGGAGGTATTTATGGGATTTTAAGATTCCTGGACAATGTCAAATTTTGGTGAAACTAATAAAGTTCATCTCGCGACATCCCAACATGAAAAGGACACAAATATGAGGAGGGTAATAATGAGTCCTGCCAAAACATAAATGCAATGATGACAGAGGTAATAGTTATTGGTCAGTGGAACCCAAAACATAACGTGTAGATTCTTATACCCATGCCACCAATTATTGCACCATAATAATATTCAGAGTCGCTCCTCACCGTGAATGTCATATATCCCGGCAACAGGCAACTCATCTTAGTGCGAAAAACCACATTCTTTTCCGAGCATATCTAGATTTATGATGTTTTCCGAGCACATCGATCTTGTCTGGGACTTAAAATAGTCCAAAAAAATCTACTCCATAATATGTATCCCAAATATCTATCACAAACGTAATCAATAGACACAAATGACCGTGGTCGCATAAATGGCCTTGACCCAGCAGCTTGGCATTTCATTCACACAGTTGTATAGAAATATGGGAAATGGTCCGATATACTGAAAATGGTCCAATATAGAACTGGTCCAAATAAGGACTTCGTCCTTATTTGGATTTCTATCGGTGAAATGGTTATCATAGTTCAATTACTTTTTTTTTCAACACACTACGGAATTTGGGGCTATTAACATCACGGCCGGCCTTCTTCAATTCCTTCCATTATTATTCATGAAGGATTCGCATGTACTGCCTACATGGAAATGAAATATGCAAAACATAAAAGCAAAAAACAATACAAAAAATGCAATGGACATGCATGGCCACTTATGGCTGGCATTAATCCATATTACTCTTAGGTAATGCATGTTAATTAGTTAAACTCGGTCGATCGATCCATGATCATCCATCTGTTCTGAGAAGGTAAAGACTGAGCTCAGGAGGAGCATGGCTGTCTGCAGGGTTCATCATGTACAGTGCTTCTGAATCTCTACACCCCACCACTCTCTCAAACTTTGCTCTCATATACATCACTTCCCCGCCATCGCCCCCGCCAATTATGGGTGGCAGTACCCCCGCACCGGTGGTGATAGCCTCCACGCACTTCAAAATCTCCCACTCCCTTTCCCAGCATTCTCGTCTACTGTTCCCAAAACCACACTTCTTCCCATTCAAGTATGCCCTCCAAACACCCTCCTCATCTATTACCCTCCTCCCGCTGCCGCTCTCTGCCGCCTTCTTCCTGTCACACTCCAGGGCGACCCGGACCTGCCCCGAAGCCATCTCCCGAACCAGGGATGATATTGGGGTGGCCAACTCCACCAAGAACACCGGTTCTGAAGTGGGGTCCTTCTGGAACACGAAATGCACGTGGGTCCCACGCCTGGGGCCGAAAAGGGTGCCTACCAGCAGCAGCCTCCTCCTCCTCCCGCCGCCTTGCAGCTGGTTCATCAACACCGAACTCAGCCTGTTCCTCCCGATCGAAGTCAGCACTGATTTCAGCTTACCGGTTGTGCCTGCTGCCGCTGCTGGTGGTGATGATTCTTGGTTCAGCTTCTTGTTGCTGTCTACTGCTGATGGGTTGTTCTTGGATGGTTGTTCTTGATCGGGAGATGAATCGTCCTCTGCTTCCCCGCGGTTTCGTTTGACGCCATAATCTTCATCCTCTTCCTCGCTCCTGACTTTGGTTTTCCAGTGGAAGTGCAGTCTCTTGGAGGGAAAATCAGCTGCTTGGTGGAGGATACTCTTATAAGCCATCATTGTCTAGCTTCATCCAATAAGACTGCTAACTAGCTAGCTAGCTTGCTAGGAATTGAATGAAGGAGCACACTACCTTTAGTTAGTATTTTTTGGGTTAGAAAGATCAGAGTACTGTCTGTAGTAGGAGAGTTTGGTCCCTCTTAATAGGCTATTCCCTCTGATCTGTCCCTGGTCCACTTTAATTTCTCTTTATCCTTGGCTTCTCATGATGTCTAGTCCTCTTAAACCCTGTTACATGTGGATACTACCTCCGTAACGTAAATATCTTCCCACTTTCCTTTTTTGGACGTAACATTAATATCTTCCCATTTCTAAATCTTCCCAACATACCCTCAATAATTTTAAAAAAAAATACACTATTACATCTACTTTTTTTGGATTTATCCTTCATTCCATCACATTACTTCACTATCTTCCCATCATACCCCCAATAATACATATCTCCTTTCACTATTCTTAATCTACCTACTTTTCAAATGGGAACATCCCAATGTTACGGAGGTAGTACCATTTTTGTCTCATAAAAATGGGATTTACATATCTGCATATTTATTTTGCATTTTCATTCTTATAACACATCTAAACCATTTTCATTCACTTTTGCTCTTCAAATACCTGTAAAGTCTATGTGTGGACATTGTCATAGACACTATCTATACTTTTTTTCTATTTGTCTCCTAAACAACAACATTCAAGCCTTAGTCCCAAAAGATATTGGGGTTGGCTAACATGAATCGATACATGATATCACCATCCGAGATGGTCTTAAGTTGTTCACATTGTCTGAATTTAAACATAACCCTTGTTTCATTCTAATTAATTTTAAAAGTTGTTTAACCCTCTAAAGCCTATATGGTAATACTGGAAAATGGCCGAATCGACTAATTTGCTTTAATGAAATATTGGCTGAAATCGGTGAATATCTTGAATCCATTGAGTTATGAAAATATTATATTAAAAAAATTGCCAAAAAGTCATTTCGCTGATTAGTACATTTTGATTAGTAGACAATCGAGTGCCCATAATGTAGTAAATATAACGTAGTATGAAAAATAAAGGGAAGAAGTTTTGAAAAAGAAGAAAGGAATGTGAAAGAGGCAGTGGATTTGTGATTTTCACTTTGTTGTGGGTGGGGGGCAGTGGCGTGAAAGGAGGGTTTAGTTTGACTCACTCACTCACTCACTCTATCTCTGCCTCTGGCTTCAATCCCAACTAAAGAAAAAGAAAAAGCCAAGTGAGTGATGGTCACAAAAAGACGGAAGAAGACAAACATCTGTCACTGTTTATTCTCGACATCGCTTCTGCCGCTTGTCTTCTTCATATTCTTCATATTCTTCACACCGGACCAAACGGCAGGTCACAGCGGCCGGCAGCCACTGCCTCCGGTTTTGGCAGTTTTTGAGACGTAGCTATTCCCATCCATCTCAAAAGTTATGACTGATGTGGATCCAAACGTCATCAACACCTTCGCCCAGCCAAAACAATTATTCATCGCTTCATTAAGGCATTTCCTTCCACTAGTTCCATTCACTAACCAAACCAAACTAAATCCAGCAAATACTGAGTATTCCATTCAAATGTTTTTAAAAAGCATTAAGCGTGACAAGCGTCAAGTTTCAAATCTAGGCGAAAATGAGCAAAGTCTAGACTTGAAAAAACGTTTAAACTTTCGGACCGAAGAGGGTGGCACAAGTTCTAAGAAAAGTGGGTTTGTGTGATTTGTATTAATTAATAAAGTAAGAATAAAGTTTAAATGATTTTGAACCACACAAATTTTACCAAATAAGATATGAGACAATTAAATAAGGACATCTCAATATGGTAAAACGGGACATTTAAAAGGGGACGGAGGAAGTATATTATTTACATAGTGCTATATAAAGAAAATGATGTGGGGAGAGTTCCGAAATAAAAGTAAATAAGTTTTGAAATTTCAAAATATAACTGTTATGTTTTTCTTCTCAAAATATGAGTAAATTGATTGTATATATTGTCATCTTGTCATTTCAAATAGTTGCAATACTACGCATTAAACGTGAGAGATATACTATCACTAATGGTGGTATTTTTCAATCATGATGGTATTATTCAATCATGGCAGTAAGTCAGTAACGACTCCTATTTCGGAAAGAAAAACATAACAATCTTATTTTAAAATTCCAAAACGTGTTTACTCCTATTTAGGGCAATTTCCATTAATAACATGTTTATCTTATCCTTCCGCCTTAGGTTTATGTCTTTTCACGTCTTTGTTAGTCAACTCTTAATTAACTACATATTCCACGCATTTATATTACAGCCTTGTTATTTGTACTCATCTTTATAAACACTAATGTGAAGGTTGCTTTTTTTTTTTGTCTGTGAATCTCGTTCACAAACAAAACATGACATGTTTTGTCTCTAAACATATTCATAGATAAAAGTGATGAGTTTAAGGATGAGTACAAATTATAAGGGAGTATCATACTAAGTGAAAATAGAACCGATTTAAACAGAACTAAATCACTTCACACCTGACATAAACTTCAACCCATTATTTACTCTCAAGTCTCAAATCTCAATCAGTTGAATACCGTGAACCGTCCCCGCTGAAAATTTTATGTGCTAATATTTGATTAAATTCTTTGTTAGAAAGTGCACCTCCTCATTTCAAATATTCGTCAAAGCCTAACAGACCAAATTATTTCAGTCATTTCTTCCCTCCCATTCTCAAGTTCAATTCTCGCTTCCATTTAGATAAAGTTAATCCTCTTATATTTCAGTTCAAGTGAAAACAAACATAAATCTACTTGGCACTATGGGTGGACTCGGTTCGGGCCGGGCCCGGTTCGGGCCTTGAACTGGTCGGGCCTCAGTTCACCAAAAGGAGGGCCCGGACCCGAACCGTGGCTCCCGGTTCCGGGCCAGACCGGGCCGGGCCACCCGGGTCATAATTTTTTTTTTTTGCTTCTCTTATTTAACCCCCTATCCCTCCCCCTTAATCCCAAACCACCTCAAGTGGCCCAAAATACCTAATCCAACCCAAAACTTAAAAAAAATTCAAAAAAAAATAATAATTCCGGCCCGAACCGGGCCCGAACCGGCCGGGCCGGTTCACCAAATGGAGGGCCCGGGCCCAGAACCGGTATCCACCGGGCCAGTTCGACCCGAACCGCCGTTGACCGGGCCACCGGGCCGGGTCGGTTGCTACAGTGGGCGGGCCGGGCCGGTTCCGGGTCGGGCCGCCCGGCCCGAGTCCATCCCTACTTGGCATTGCGCCATTAATTCTTGTGTTTGTTATTCTTAGTTCCAACTCCCCTTCCAGCGTTACCTTTAATATACGTAGTAGTATAGTTTCATTTTCAATGTTTAGTTTCGTTACATTATCTCCGATATGAAATTTACCATTAGATAGCTTAGATATAGACTTTATATTACTATTATTTGTTTGTTTTATTCCAGTTTTTTCTTTTTATTAATATGTCATTGTCTTACACTCGTACCTTATATATATTGAATATGAAAGTTTGAGTGTAATTAATTTGAGAGTCCCGAGAACCGTAAAACAAAAATAAAAAATGATCCGAGAACCGTTAAAACAAATGAGGTGCAATTTCAAACGTTATGGCATTATGCAGTGTTGTTAAGATTCTACAAAGAAAACACCACATACGGAAAGTTGAGTGAAAAAACTCAAAAAGCCCCCAATCTGCCCCGCACCTTCCTCAACTCCAAGTGCATCAAGCAATTTACATGCAAATGAATATGAACATACTAGCTACAGGTCGAATGCAATCTAATCATCCTAGCTACAGGCCTTTATACAAAATGCAGGATAAATAAAGATGCAAAAAAATAAAGCTAAAGGTGTGGGTGCTTGAGTAAAGCACCAGGATGTGGTTTGGTGATGAAAGTTAGCCATCAGTGTTTTTTTGTTCCTGCTCAGAATTTGACTGTGTGGGAAGCGTAATGCCAGTGTTCATCCTTGCCCTTGCCTCCGCAAACATCCTCTGCTGCGCAGCTAATGCTTCTTCTTCAGTCATTTCAGCTCCTCCATTGCTCAACTTCCCCATCCTAACATTGTCCTGCTGGAAATCACATGGTACGCGTATGAAATAATAATATTTTAACAAATTGCAATGGCTTAACTACTAAAAGGAAAATGGCATCTATCGGTTAACTTCAGCTCAGCAATTACCATGGTTTCCAGCCTGTGTTGTTCATATGCAGCGTACACTTCTTTGATATATTCCCCAAAGCCAAGAACCTGCCTCCAATAGTCATCAAAATCAGCCGAAAAGAAAAACGAACAAGCATAACTATATACTCCAATGTAAGCTTAAAGTGCTGCAAGGCCTGCACCTCATACAAACTTCAAGTGATTGCTAAATGGGATTGTGAAATTTAACGGAGATTCAATTATTTTAATGAAACTATCATAAGTTGTTTCACAAATTATACTATTGAACTATAAAAAACATGATGACTGCCCATTCCGTCAACTTCAAGCCTATGCATCTAAGCGACTTACATACAATACAGAAGAGATAGACACATTTGAAAGAGACAGAAGGCAACTTGAGTTTTGTTTTTCCTGACACAGATTTTTATATATTACAGGCATCACACAGACACTAGAATAAAAATCAGATAAAAAAATATAAGACTCTTATCAAAATAGAACCACCTTTGCTTTTATTCATAAGCTGGAAATTATTCAATCCTTATTTTAGAAAGGTTAATAGATCCAACAATGTATCCTTGCATTATAATTTACGGATTATAACTCATTGGCCAATAATTTACAGATATACAGTGATAGACGAATTTGGTTGTGGTAGCCAGAAATTGTGGTTTTCAGCATCTTTTCCGATGGTAGTTTTTCCTAAAAAGTTTTCCCTAAGCAATTTTCAGGAAACTTTCCTTGGTGAAATTTCTTATGTCGGCGGTGGTCAGTTTAAGGTAGTTAGTAGCGGTGGTCAGTTTAAGGTAGTTAGTAGCATTTACTTACTACATGGTCATTCACTAACTACCTAATCATAAATTGATGGTATTTTGGTCACACCATGTATTTTGGAGTACTATTTGTATAACAAATACGGGGTATCATGTTTTAATCCTATCCATGAAATTTTCTCCACCTAGATTAACAGCCCCAATCACAGTGAAGACCTCAACGAACTAATGTGGAC